AATGTACAGAGTGTCCCAAAAGCCCTAAAAGTATCAAAGTTGTGTTTTTCTAAATGAAATACCCTATATATTATTGCATTTTTGGATTCTCTGAGAAAAATAAATGTTTGTTTTAATAAGATTTATAATGTCTAAATCTAAAGCTTTTTTAAATAATTCGAATTTTATCAAAATCTAATATTATTTTTATGTGTCAAATACGTGATTCGTAGTGCATTGTAACAAGAAATCATAGTTTATATCTGTGGACATCTGGGGGGCCAATTTTAAACCCATTTCTGCCAATCCACCTGTTTTGAAAGTTGGCATTTAAAAATTACCGAACTTCGCAGTGATAATGAGGCGGAGCTCCATCCAATTGAAGCTACATGTGGGTTCTAATGTTGAAAGGGACTTCTTCTAATAATATTGAGAGATAGTTTATTAGAAACTGGGAAACATCAAACCAGTTAGATGTCCTTCAAAAAAATAGGGTCCAATTAAATATTGGCCCAGTATTCCACCCCACACATTAACTGACCACGTATTTTGATTTTTCATGACTTTGTATACGCGCTGATTCGTATCAGAATAATAATGAAAGTTGTGTCTATTCACGAGACTGTTATGAAAAGTATATTCATCACTAAATAACACATTTTAGAAAAACTTTTCATTTTCTGCCACTTTATCTAACACCCACATGCAAAACTCAGTTCGGTTTTCAAAATCATTTGCATAAAGTTCTAGGCAAAGCTGAAGGATAAAAGTTGTGCTTTTTGATAATTCTGGAAATACTTGATTGACTAATGTTAGTACTTTTGGATATGAGATTTTGACTAACATTCGGAATTTCGATAACTGAACCAATTATCGTAAAAACATTTTCTTCATCTTCAGTGGCAGATTTCCTTGTAATGGGTTCTTTATAATTGACACTCCCACTTTCCTCAAATTGGTTTAATAAGCGCTTAAAAACTGTTGGCTTAGGATCATTAATTTCAGAAAACTTTTGAGCATAAACTCGCGAAGACAATAAACAATTTTTATGACATCCTTCTTAGCAACTTAGTGAACTTAGCAACACAATAATAATATTAAAATAACGACCAACACGTCTACAATTACAAAAAACAATACCACTCTAGCTATCAAAAAGAGACTTTGCAGTCTAAACTGACGAATAAAATAAATGATTTGACATGTGTAAATGGCATAGGCAACTTAGATACATTGGAACCTTAAATTAAACAACGCCAAATAGTGCACAGAACGACTATTTGACGTATTTTGTAAACATGCAAAAACTTAGCTATTAACATCCTAATACCATTCGATAGGTAATTGAAAATTGCATTTCCTGGTAAGTTAAAAAATATGGGGTTGTATTTAAATTAATCAAGTTTGAGCCACTTAAAGTTCTTATTTGATTAGTTTAAATGTGTGGACACCCTGTATAACATGGTAAGTTTATTATCATTGGGATATAAAATATTATATCTTGTTACACTTCACTATAAATTACGCTTACATAACTTAAATACTTCTAAAGTATTTGACACGTGAAAATTAGATTAGATTTTGATTAAATTCGTATTATTTAAAAAACCTTAAGATTTAGGTATTATAAACCTTATTAAAACAGACACTTGTTTTGTTCAGCGAATCCAAAAATGCAATAATATACAGGACATTCCATTTAAAAAAACGCAACTTTGATAGCTTTTGGGACACCCTGTACATTACAAAAATATTTTTAAAGTGTGCGCTCGGTAGGCGTCGGACAATTCATAAAATAATACTTTTTAAAAATGAAACGTTTTAGCCGCGCGTCTCGGAGTTACGCTGTCATCGCTGAAGACCACTTAAAAAGTTCGAAAGGCCCAAATTACCACAGTAATAAAGTTTTCCGTCGCTGTGATGCTGCGAGCAGAAGAAAACAATGGATCTGCCATTTAGGCATTTTTTTAAAACTGTATTAAATCTTGAATCAGGATCGGACGTTTGAGTAGACTTTATAAAACATATCAAGCTTCAAAAGTTAAAAATTTCAGAAAAATAGAGCAAAAGATCAATTGAAAACATCTTGTCAAGCTCAAAGGCTACGGCTGATTCAAGCAATCACCAACATGCTCCAAATTGATTGGTAAATATTTAAAAAGACATATAGCGACAGCATGCTGATAAGGAAATTAACAATTTTAAGTCGTTAATACATACAGTTTAAGTTAAACAATTACACGGAGCTATAGGGAGCCCTTCGAAAAAGCAAGAGTCTGCAAAACAGTTCAACAAAAGTGTTAAGTGCTAGCTCCAACGCTTTCGTGTGGCTGGGTAAGCTAGCCGTGTTTAAATTTTCGGATAAGAAGGCACTTGTATAGTGTTTAATCAAACTGTATATATTAGTACAGCCAGGTAGGCTCGAGTTCTTCTAAATGGTACAAATCGTTTTATGTCCATTTTACAATTTTCTTCTTCTTTAAAAAAATGAGGGATGCAACCCTTATATAGGCAACCACCTCTACCGTAATTTTGACCAACTAGGCGGCGTTGCCAACCCCTATTCTTTATTTAATTAATTAACAAAAAGCAAGAAAAGTCTAAAATTACTCCCTTTCTCGGGGCAAAAATAGCCAAATCCATCAAGAAGAACTTGCTTTATAACGATGCCAAATATCCTCCAAAAATCATTATTAAATAGGGATTTTGTTTATCGTAGCTTTATTTTAGTTGTATAATATGGATTATTTAGAGTTTTATTGTAAAAAATACCAATACATATCTATGCAATTGTCTCTATTTTTTTATCCAATAAAAGGTAAAAGAAAATTGAATATGGATTTACCCACAGACTACATACCATTTTACCTATAACCTAACTACCATATAAGCCTTGTTCTATGCATTGTATGTAGTCTGTGATGCATTTTACCTAACCCCGTTTTTCCTTTGCTGTATTATAAACACTTGAATTTACATTTAATTAAAAAATGCATATCGACCAAAGATACCTGACTCAGTACCTGATAAAGCATGGGGCGATTTCACCAGAGCAGGCCTTGAAACACTGCGAAGGCATCCCTGGAGGTAGGCCTGACATTCGGTGGCATCGAATCGCACTATTCACCCCTTTCCAGCCCCCATTAGGGACATTACGCAGCTGAAAAATACCGTTTTGGCCATAAACCGGGACATTTCCAGGCAGGGTTTCAAGCTGGTATGGAAGTTCTGCGAAGTGACCAAGCAGGAGCTGCTGATTTGGACGAACACCAAGCGCGACGACATCGCCCTCCATCAGCTCAGTTTCACCCCCATCGAGTTGCAGTACTTTCACACAATAATGGAGGAGATTTTGAGCGACGAAAGCCACCGGTTGCCGTATCCAGCAGTGTTAAACCTTACATCGGGCCTCACAAGCCAGTTTTCGCGCGACAGCGGCCAGAAGGCTTTCCAATCGTGGGTAGCAAACGGCTATTTCGTGCAGCTGGACGACTACGTCTATTTAGGCCCAAGACTCATTGTGGAATTCACCACCTACTTGAAGTCCAAGTTTCCCGAGCAAACGTGCAAGCTGTGCTCAGAGCTGGTATTCACGGTAGGTTTAAAGGGGCTGGTTTAGGTGAAGTCAACTTGGGAGTTTTCTAGGGCAAAAGCTGCAGCCTTTGCCACAAACTCCTGCACAATTACTGCTTGGATAAGTATCTGGCCAGAGAAAACAAGTGCCCCTCCTGCAGGAAGGCTTGGGTGGAGCAAACAGATGAAGCGGATGATTGGAATGGGAGTTCCGAATAAAGAAAGTGCAATTTTCATCGGCATTTATGCAAATAAAACATCAGTAAGCTACCTGCACCAAACTATTACTTATCGGCCACAATAACGGGGGGCACAAAGCCGCCAAACTCCCTCTCCAGCTCCTTTGCGACTGCCAAACACAGCCGGTCTTGATCGGGAGCGGCCACCACTTGAACCCCCAACGGAAGCCCCTCTTTCCCCAAACCCATGGGCACTTGAGTGACCGGGAATTTCATGGTGTTCCACAAGGCGAAACAGTCGAAGTTGTACGGCCGCAAAAGGGCGGCGTTATGGTAGCTGGCCGGGAATGGGGCTGAAGGGTACAGCAGAACGCTGTTATCGTCCAGTTTTGTCTGCAATTAAATTTCCGGATTATTTGATGCCGGCCCTCCTTCCAAGGGCTTACCAAGAAAGCCTCTTTTAGAGACTGGGTGACTTCAACTGCCCAAACACTGTTCACAGGTTTGAGGAATCCGTTGATCAGATTGAACACTGTGGCCGTAGTAAAGTCGCCACCAAACAGGAAATGCTTGATGATTTCCCAGACGGCGTTCACCTGCTTGAAAAACACCAAACTGAATCACCTCCATCGGGGGTTAACGCTCATTCTTACATCCCCTTCTCTGTTGTTGAGGTCCTTGCGGAAATTCTTCATTTCCAGCGACATCCAGTACTTCCACAGCTTGTACTGGTGCTGGAGCTGCTCGAACACCAATTCTTGGGGCTTTTCCAGGCAAAGCCCCTCCAAATGTCTCACGGCCCTAAATACAGTCACAGTAAAAAGTGGTGTGCTGACGCCGTGTTAACTTTGTGAAAAAGCGATTTTTGCCTCAACCATTTAGAACTGGAGTTAGCAAAAAAAAACCCACTTCAACAAAACGGAGTGCATTTCCTCCCTAAACGGGCTCATCAGGGGGTCCTTCGGGTTGGTCACATAGTAGACCTTCAGCTTCTTAACCGGCACCTGTAGGCCCAGATTGAGCCGATCAGCGTTGCTTCCAGCCAGCAGCTTGATGAAGGGCAGCAAATCATCCACATGTCTGGCCAAAGGCCCTACGCAAACCATCGTCTCTTCTTCCTCGCCTGTCCGATATGTTAGGCCTGAAATGTCCGAGTGATTAAAAAATTGCAGCTAAATGCGCCCGGAACCTTTGGTGGAAACGATGCTGTTGCTGATTTTGTGGCCGAAGACGCCGCACATGAAGGCGGGGATCCGGGCGGAGCCCCCGATGTCTGTCCCTGGAAATAACGCGCAAGATTACCTGCCGGATATGCGGCAGAATTAAAAACTCCTACCGACTCCTAAGGGAGATCCGCAAGCCGCCAGAATGGCCGCTTCTCCTCCGGAGGAGCCGCCGACGTTCCTGGTGGTGTTGTAGGGGTTTCTGGTGAGGCCGAATACGGGATTGCTGGTTTCCTGCCACAGATTCAACTGGGGCACATTGGAAACCCCCAATAAAATAGCTCCCGACTTCTTCATCGATTCTATGCAGTGGGCGTCAAACGACGCCTTTTTTCCCTGTCGCTTCTTTAGCCCGAAGGTCCATGACAGTCCCTTAGCGGCCGTGGATTCCTTGCTGGTGAACGGGACGCCTGGAAAGCGCGCAACTTACTCTCATTCACCCGCAATCCCACACCCAGGATTACCAAGGAAGGGTTTATCTTGAAAGTCCACCTCCTGGATGGTCCCATTGGCGATATCCTGATCAATCTGCCGAGCTTCGCTCAAAGCGTCCTCGAATCTATTGTCGACTATAGCGTTTATTATGGGGTTCACTTGCTGGATGCGCTCGATGAAGGCTTCGACTACTTGCACGGAGGTGAGTTCTCGCCGTTGAATCTTCCTAGCTAAGGCTGTGGCGCTTTCCAACACCAGCTGGTTCTTCACTTTCGGAATGTATTCGCGTTTTGAGTCGTAGTAGATGCCAAACAGCCTGTCTATCAGCAGGTCCAGGTAGTAGCGCAAGCACAAGAACAGCTTGAAAATGTAGTAACGAGCTTTGCTCACTTTGGTCGTCTTCACGTCCATCATCCTGGCTGTGTGGTCTGGAATATTGCAAGAATGAGAACAATGACAATGCAAATAAGAGAAGAACCGTCTAAATTAATTCAGGAACTCGGAAGCAAGCGAACAGGGAGCAATTATCATTAAAACTTACCTGATTTTGATCTCCGATAGAAGGGCGACGTGCTGCAGCAATTGCTTATTATCAAGGAAGTGTTTTCGCATTTAAAATAAGCCGCATATTAGCAATTATGCAAAAAACGATTAAAATCCCCTTGCATAAACATTATTCAAGAGGCTGCTAATTAATGGAATGAAACAGCACAAGGAAGTAGCAACAGTTAATTGAAAAATTTGGAATGTACGTAGACCGTTTCTAGGACGAATTCCGCAATTCAGGGCAAAGTAAACGGTTTAAAAACATATCAAGCTGGAGGGAGCGAGTGCAAGCAGACTTAACAGCAACTAAGGGGTGCTACCAGTGGTTGCTAATTATGAAAAACCGCCAACTTTACCGCGAAAACTACGCACCTCAATACTTACGTCTACGTGTGTGAACCTTCACCATGCTTTTAACCGCATCACTTTGAACTTTGTGTTTAAAGACACCGAAAATGTGGAAACGTGTTGCGCTGTTGACAACCTTGAGGAACACTACCGTTCTTCGCATAAATAATTAAGAGTGCCACTTACAAATGTTGATCGCCTATTCGGTAATTTTCAGGCACATCCGGCCTGAGTCTGCACAGCTCACAACAGGCTCATCTCATAGATGCTATCTTCATAAACAATTTTTCTGTGTTTTTTGAAAAAATGGGTAAATGACCTGACTTACTTGTCTGAACTGGAGGTTATGTTTTTGTTGATTGTGGCATTTGTCAACCCAAACCAGCACAGCGTTGCCAGCAGGATGCCAAAGTTGTCAACTCTCTAGTGGTTTTCAGGTATTGCAGCAACTGCTTCAGAGGTGTTCTGTGTGCTTCAGAGGCAAAAGTGAATAGTGCTTGACAACAGTGCTTGATTAGGTGACGTTTTCCACGTACATAACCTGCGAACTTTGGCAGCTGTTTGTTGATTATTCCACTACAAAAATTGGGAGCAAATTGAAATCCAATGGCTACTCATTCAGGCGCCCCAACGCTCCTGCAGTGGAGCCCCGATAAAAAGCACAGCGAAAGAGAGAGGTTAGTGTGGGCTACTAGACAGGAATTTGTCCGTAAATCCTGCCTTGGCAATGCAGCGAACCCCCTAGGGAGCCTGCCCTGGATCTATCGGTGTATTTAACTGGGATTTGTTTGCTTGCAGATGGATTTGTATATATCCTGCCTATATCAACAGCAAAAAGACTCTGGCTGAGGGCAGGCGGATCCCGAAGGGCAAATGCGTGGAAAATCCCAATTTCCAGGAAATACGGGATGTTCTTGATGCGGCAGGTTTAAATGTAAGTGACATCGAACTAGCTTTCGTCGATAAATGGTTCTGAGAATCAGCACACTTATCTGTCCAATGTTTTCTGATACCTACTCTGTGCTGCTTTAAGACCATTCCCTTAATGCGTGTAGGGCTTCCTGGAAAATTCTTCTGTGTTATATTATTGAACCATATTCAGAGCGGACTTTCTACTTTTCGTCATCATAAAAATGAAGCAAAATTTGAACTAAACAAACGAAAGAGGTTTATTTTATGTCTTCTTTCAGGTGCTAGTGGAAAATAAGCTTTATAGCAGGGAACGCAGCAAGGAGCTACTCTATAGAGGCCGCATTCGTGTCCAATTGAAGAACGATGATGGCACTCTATGCAAGTCTTCATTTCCCACGCGGGACAGTCTCCTGCTCCATTTGGGTGATATGATTCCCAAGTTGAAGTCACGCCAACACAAGTCGAGCTCAGAGCAGCCGGCGCAGAGCTCGCAAGGCAAGGGGAAAGGCAAAGGCAAAGGGCGAAGGTGAACGGCTGAAAACAACAAATTTGTATAAAATTTCTAAGGATTTTGTTCGTATTTTGAATGGATGGTTGTATTAAAGTCAAAAGAAATATTTAGCTAGTTAATATTTCTCCAGTATTGTACGCGCAACTAAATTCCCACAAAATCGCGACACGCGAGAATGTCAGTTTGACTAATTTTCCTATCAAGCTACTGAAACCGATCTATGAATAATAACCAAAACTCGCGAAAGTCTTACACACGGAAAGCACAGTCGGTTTAGTCACTTTACGGGACAAGCCGACTTATTTCCACTAATAGATAGGTGAGCCGACATATCGGCTGTATGTGAGATTAATAACACTTTCCTTCCACTTGCAAGACAGTTGTGGTGGCCAACCATTGTGCAGCGTTAGTGCGTGAGCGCCCATGCGAAGGAATTATAGGCTTTTTCAAAAGAGCAATTATGGTTCTATTAGCCGGTTGCTTTGGTTGTGAATTTGTGGTTTTTGTGTTCCTTTTAAGGCTTTTTGGTAAGTATTCGATAGACAATTTTCGATGCAGACAATCGAATGCAGTTTAGAGAAAACTAGTCAATGTGCTTCTGATAAGTTAATTATCCCAACTGGTCCGCGAGCGGTTTTTCTGAAAGGGGCCATAAAAACCATGCTTTATTAGAAGCAGTAACAACAGTTTTTCAATTAAAAAATGCATTTTGCATAAGCAAATTGGACGCGGCGGTTTTATTGCATTGAGGAGTCGGGTTTCAAAAATTGCAACTTAGACTTGATTACCTGAGTTCGAGCTTACTGCGTTGATTTTCCATTGTCCTTGGCCAACCGAATCCTCAATTGCATGTTGAAAACTTCACGTCAATTTCAATTGGCCCATTCATCTTTTCTCGTGTCCATTTAACTTATTTTGTCTATACGCGGCGGGTTTCCTACTAATAAGGTCCTAACATCGTCTTAATCGGTTACAATTTCCTTAATTGTCTGGCGTTATCGCTCATTTGCAAGATCAAGTAAAGGCTTATTTTCCTGTTAGTTCAATTTGTGGCAATTAATGCCGAAAAATCATGTCTGAAGGTCCAATTCGTCAACTTGCCTTCTTATGTAACCAAATGGTAAAGGCCGGGAAACATCGCACACAAAATTCACTTGAGAATAACTTTAACTGATCAGAGCTTCTAGAACAAATGCCTTTTTGTTGAGAAAAACATGCGTTTTTAGGCAGTTTTCGCTCAGATTTCAACGAAAAAGCTCTACAAGTTGTTATGTTAAATAGCGGCAAAACACGATTTTCCAACTTCTCAGAGGGAATTCACATGAGCATTAAAAAAAATTTAAAGGAAATGGGGCTGGAGAGTTACAGGCACTTTTGGTCGAAAAATTTAATCTGAATTTTCCCAGAAAAAAAGCATTTCAAGTTTACTGTTGTTGAACAAACGCATTTTGCTTTTCAAAAGCATTTTTGCTAGTATTTTTTTACCTCTGAAAGCACAAACACTTTTGGATCAAAAAACGTAAAAGTCCATTGAACTCGACAAGAGGATTTTAGCTTTTCAGTTCTTAAAAACAAGCATTTTTAGTGAAAAACTGACTTGTTTTAAGGTTGTTTTGTGACTTGTTTTTAAGGTTTTTGCTCAAAAGTGTCGGTTCATTACAATACTCTGAAAATAACAGGCACTTTTGAGCCAGAAAATCGTAAAAATCCAGTAAAGTTTTCTGAAAACCTCCAGTTTAAGTATTCGGTTGCCGACGAAACGCATTCGTATAGTACCGAAAAGCATTTTTTCTTGAAAAAGTGTCGGTTATTTTTTGGTGTCTTAATTAAATAAAAAAAATAAGCAGTTTCCCAAAAAAAAAATTCAACATTCAGTGCTGCAAAAAGAAGCTTTCCTAGTACGATTTTCCCATTGAATCACACCATAAAACGATAAAGCAACAGAAAAGGCACATTACTAATTTCCTAACGACTCAAAGTCTTGAAAAGTGCGATTTTTTCAAGTTTTCCAACTTCTTAGTGAATTTCCTATAAGCATTAAAAAAATTGAAAGGAAAAGTGGCTGTACAGTTACAGGCACTTTTGGGCCAGAAAACGAAAAATTTAATAAGAGTTTTCCCAGAAACCCCCATTTCAAGTTTCCTGTTATTGAACAAACGCGTTTTCCTTTTCAAAAGCATTTTTGCTACTATGTTTTACTTCTGAAAGCACAAACACTTTTAGTTCAACAAACGTTAAAGTCCATTGAAGTGCAAATCAAAAGGATTGTAGCTTTTCAGTTCTTAAAAACAAGCATTTTTAGTGAAAAACTGTGACTTATTTTTGAGGTTTTTGCTCAAAAGCGTCGGTTCATTACAATGCTCTGGAAATTTGGAGCCAAAAAATCGCAAAAATCAGGTAAAGTTTTCTGAAAACCTCCAGTTATTCCATAAGTTGTTCCATCGGATCTTTACGTTTGGTATCCTAATTAAATAAAAAAATAAGCAGTTTCCCAAAAAAAACATTTTCAACATTCAGTGCTGCAAAAAGAAGCTTTCCTAGTACGATTTCCCCAATCAATCACACCATAAAACGAAAACGCAACAGAAAAAGCACATTAGTAATATCCTAATGACTAAGTCTTGAAAAAAGCGCAAAAATTTCGGCACCTAAATCTACTTGATTTTTTGCAACATAATTTCAAAGAATCGCGTTTCTGTTTAAACTATCCGAAATCATGGGAAAAGCAGTGTTAGAAATGCGGTCAAACATGCGCCACTATCAGTAAGTAACAAAGGAACATGCAATTGAATGGTTTGGAAACATTGAACAATCAATAATTGCGCTTCGCCCATCAAACCTGATTCGAGGAAAATGAAAAACTGTAAACGTAAATTCAGCTAATCGACTGTTCAAGATCGAATCAGTGCTTATTGCCAAATAGGCGATAATGCACGTTCAATCAGCCACCTAATTAATACGCGTATGCTAAGTAACACTTATTTAATTAGGTAAATTAGACGGATTTTGTAAGCTCCGAATGGGTGGATGGAAGAACGAAATATAAAAAAAGCAAGGCCAAGGACATGGGTGGTCAAATTGAATAACATATAAATGGTTTTTCGATTCGATTTGCTTGATCTGTATTAAGATCGGCTCGTCAGTCGTTACGGGCGGTTGATTGCAGCTCAATTCTGTTGCTTTCATTAGGCCAAATTCATCATTCCTCCAGAGTTAAGCGTTTAATCGCGAAACAAAGCAACTTGGTTCGAAAGTTCGGTCTCCTTTTACCGAACACAAAAAAAATTGGAGCGACACTTTCTACAACACCAACAGCTAATGGCAAATAATTATATTACAGATTTCACTCAGTTTGGGTATAATTGAATGATCAAACACGGCCAAAATGTGCGAATTACTGTAAATTTCTTCACCCGAGAGATGAACGATTCGCGAATTAAATGCGTCATTAAATCTGTGTACAAATCTCGATGACATGTTAAGTAAGGGGGCATTAATTAAATTAAATTACTAAACAACATCACCAGTGCGAAAATTCAATTATAAAACTAGTGAAAGGGCAATTATTGGCATTAAAATCACCAGAATTGACGCACAACGGGAAAGTGGCGCACAACTGCAAGGATTTATGCGGAAGCACCGTAAAACGATTGCAAATAAATCACCCTCTATATATGGGTTTGCAGGGATCTAATTCGAGTTAATTTTTCAGGTGCACAATGCCAGGACTTCGGGTATGAAGGAGCTGAAGGTAAGTTGTGGATTTATTAGTCTGAAGTTGATACCTTCGTGTAAACGACTAGACAAACGGTTCTTAACGAAAATTCCAATTCCACCAACACCTCAAGTCTTCATTTCAGGGCATTCAATCAGCTTTTTCACACTGCTGATTTTAATGAACTTTCGCTCTGATAGCCTTACTGGATAATGCTTAATTAGGGAGCGGATTTTTAACGCGTGATAGACTCCGAAGGGGCAAAAAAACGAAACGAAATCAACCGCAACTCTATTATACAATTTTACAATATCGCAGATTTATATAAACTAAAACGCGGTCATCAAGGTTGATAAATGACCGCATGAATCGAAGCGATTGACCAGAAAAAACGTTTCCAGGCCCGTCCCATTGGGGGGAAAAGTACTCGCAATGTTTGGGGAAACATCAGAGCCCCATCGACATTGAAACGCACAGCGTGATTTGGATAAATTATCCAGAGCTGCATTTTGAGCAGTTCGGGGCGCTTTTGAGGAACGTTTCCCTGGAAAACAACGGGCATACAGTGGTAATGAAAATATTGTCAGGGGAAAAGCCCAGGATCCATGGCGGGCCTTTGAAGGGGGTATACGAGTTCGGGCAGCTGCACTTCCATTGGGGCCCCAACGATACTATTGGCTCGGAAAATCAAATCGACCACCACAGGTACATTTCAGCGTCTTCAATTCACTCAGCAAACAGATTTTTTGCAGCTTCCCCTTGGAGATGCATGTCGTGATGTTCAACACAGCTTATGGGCTGGAAAATGCCCCGAAAATAGCTGGCGGCCTTACCGTCTTGTCATTTTTAACTTCGGTAAGTATTTGCCAATGGAAAATCGCTATTCGGCACAGTTTAACCGGATCCGAAGCCAATTTCCTCAAATCGAAGCAATATTTACCGTGCGCGCGAGCTAATCAAATCGATTAGTTGTGGCTGTTTTGGATTAAAACATCGGCCAAAATCATTGCAGCTCAGCCCGCTGAACAATCATCAATACGACAAATTCGAGAACGGTTTGCATCATGTGGAGCAGCTGCTATCGGCCAACACGATGCAGAATGTGGGGTCTTTGGACGACTTAACAACCACGCAAAGAAGAACCTACTTTACCTATGAAGGCTCCTTAACAACCCCACCATGTTCCGAGGTGGTTACCTGGATAGAGTTTGTAAAAACCATTCCACTGTCCAAAGCGCAGGTAAGCGTAAACAATAATCACTAACCTGCGGTTTAAACGACTCAATTCCAGGTAAACTCATTTCGGATGATCGACACAAAAAAAGGCCGCCTGACTCACAACTACAGGCCAATCCAGCCGATCAACGACCGCAGGATTTTCTACCAGAACTCCTCACAGTCAAACCTTCAAGGGTCTTTGGCCCCAGCCATGGCCCTCTTAGCGGCCCTGTTTCTTCTAATCAATACATAGCTTGGGAGTGAAATCTAGTTTCCTACAGAACATGTGATCAAATGTAATTTATTTTAGTTAATAAACAGCCGCTCTATAAAAAGTACGGAGTGATATTTCTACTGGGAATGACTCGTTCGCAGTCGGGCACTGCGTTGAAGATTTTTGGCTCGATTTTGTCCGTCGACGTGCATTCGAGTATGCTGGCAATGTTTCCACAGCGATAGCAGTAGTTGGGGGCTGACCATACTGTGACTAGCTTATCATCAAACATGTACTTAATACCTGGAATTCACAAGTTACGCTGTACCTACGGAAAGGAGTGAGGATCGGAGAACAAACCTTCATGCACCAACTGATGGGCTCGGCAAATCAGTGAAAGTGCGTTAATGTGCATGAAATCGTGCGTCACTTTGGCACCAAACAGATAGCCAGCCCCTCGAGGACTCGTAGCCCTGAAAACATTCTAATGTGGACAGGAAGGGCGTTTTTCGCGCTTTCTCACCATGACTCCACCTCATCAGGATCGGACCATACCAAGTCGCAAAAGGCCCCTTTGTGCGGAATTTCTTGGTCCCTTTGCAACAGTCTGATTTGGTCGATTGTCTTGATGTCAGGGCTCAAGCCCCCGTGGACGCACAATATTTTTTCATCAATTATCTGCAAAAACCCCCGGTTGTCCCGTCTTGCTCTTATACCTATGTTGTTTCCGTTGACAACTTACTGCAGCCACTGTAAGTAGATCGAAAACTGCACAGCAGTACTTCCAGGCATTCACATTGCCATACTTCGTCATACATTCATCGTAAAAACCGTAGACTTGTGTGATTTGCCTGCTCTCGTGATTGCCTCGCAGCAGGGTGATTTTATTCGGATATTTGGCTTTCAACGTGAGCAGCCGGGTAAATGTTTCTAAGCTATAGTAGCCTCTATCCACAAAATCCCCCAGGAAGACGTAGTTTGTATCGGGCACTTGGCCGCCTTTCCTAAACAGTTCCTCTAGATCATAAAACTGAAAAACCACCACAGTTTAGCACCTGCCGCGGATATAGATGATATTAATCCATTCACCTGGCCATGTATATCGCCACAAACAGTTGCAGGAGTAGACACAGGTTGAACATTGGATTCCTCCAATAAAATACTGGACACAATATCACATAGTTTCTTCAGATCGTTTTCTGGTAGATATTTACATTGTTGTGCGATTTCGATCCAGGTATCCAATTCCGCAGGCATTGTAACAGTTTATCTTTGTTTAAAAAAATTAGTCGAATTTATTGTTTAACTAAATGTCACATTTATGAGGATTTGACAACTGAACTGGCTGACTTAGCGGAATTAGATTAAATCAAAAACTGGGGTATTTTTGATACAATCACAACGTTGCGGAGGGCTTGAAAATTAATAGTAGTCGTAGTAGAATCGAAATATCGCTACCACAAGTTGACAAAAAAACAAGCCGAGCTCCGCTCATTACATTTTCTGGACAAATATGGAGTGCATCAAGCGGTAAGAGCCAGAGGCGCATTAATAATAAGCAGTTATATTTAATGGCTTCTACCAAAATATGGCAATATTGGCAATGCTGCATTTAGTTCACTGACGAGTGAAGGTGACAGATAATGCAGATAACCTTCAAACATCTCCCTATTATCTTTATTCATTAACTTATTACGCAATTTAAAGATAAAAGGGGGATTTGTCTGGTTAAAAGCACCCCCAAAGTTCAAAAACACGACTGGAATACCCCAAGCTGCCACATTTAACCCTTCAGTGCAATGTCGGCAATTTACACCAAATGCATTTCAGCTGTTGACAAGTTTGTGCCCCAAAAGCTTCAGCCCTTGTGGCAGCATCCTGCAGGTGGGTTTAGGACTTATTTAAGCCAACCAGAAGCTTTCTTGCTAGCAAAATCCGTAACTATAAAACCGTAATTTCAGGTCCAAAAACGATATTTTTCTGGGCCCCAGCCTTCAAATGGGTTAGTAGACCGAGTATTTGAAAACTGCGGCCTGATACGAACCGATTGATATTTCAGGGGCTGGTATTGGCAGGCGTAGCAGACTTGGGCCGACCAGCCGAGACAATCAGCCCCCCGCAAACGGTGGCTTTGGCCGCAACCGGGGTAATTTGGTCCAGATACTCTCTAGTCATTATTCCAAAAAACTACAGTTTGTTCAGTGTTAATGTGTTTGTTGGGGCCACTCAGCTCTATCAGCTCTACCGAGCTGTAAGGTGAGTTGAAAGTCTGGGGGGTTTTTGGCTGTTATCGAGAGTTGTATTGATTTACAGCTATCACATGGAGCAGGAGAAGAAGACAAAGACCCTCGCTTTATAATAAGGGGGCCCCCAGCTGCAGTAACTCGCTTACGTTCTGTGATTTATGGTTATAAAGTGCACGCGCTCAAAATATATATTTTTAAACTCGTTAAACTGCAGTTTTAATGCAGGAAATTATGGCTAATGAATGGCTAATTATTTACTACCACTGGACAAGGAAACCATAGAGAAAGACCAAGAATGAAACAATTAAAACGGGTTTCGGAGCCGCGTTTTTCAAACTTCAGTGATGGCAGTAGAGATTCGACTAGCGGCATCTGTGGAGCAGTTGCATTTGTTCCTCGAAAAGGCCTTTACAGGGTCCGCAGAGTTCAAGCTCTAATATATATATTATATTATATATGTAAATATAAATAGAGCTTCCAGTTGAAAGCTGTTTCTGACGTTAGAAGACGAAAGTCCTTAGAAGCTCTAGCACTAGGAACTGCGGCAACGTCGATATAGAGCAGCCAATCGAATAAGTCAGAAAACATCTGACTGTCGTGTTTTCTCATTCAGCTAGACGTCAGTTCAGTCAGCTGTTTGTGTGGTTCAGTTCTAGTGGTTGTGTTGGTTATTGGTTGGAAAAATGGCTGCGGGTTGCTGTGGTACCAAAAAACAGAAACTAAACAATTCGTCGGCGGTGCCGATCTGTAATGGTACCACGTCAGCCCCAACCAATGGACTGATCAGCAATGGCATGGGAATGGTGGCCATGCCAGAGATGTGTTTTTTTTGTTTCGACGTGCTTTATTGCCATTTATACAATTTGGCGCCTCCGAAGACACCTACATTCAGCAATGATGCATAGTAAGTGTTTTGTTCCGGCTCCAGTCGGGTTCCATACGTGGTTTCGTGTTAGAACCAAGGACATGTCAGAGGTCATTCAATGCAGGTTCAATAGACGATGTGAATCCTTTGTTCTTGTTTTCCACACAAGCATGTTTTGTTTCAACTGACTAAGTTAAGTAGGCTGATCTAGCAACTGGCTCATTGGCTGTGTTCCAAATATTGTGTTTTTATGGTCATCTTTTCTTTGATTCCATTCCAATGCAATTTGCCTGAGCACTAATTACTAACTAGCTAAAGGTGTCTTTGCATTCAACAGCTAAAAGTCATTGATTTTTATGCATAGTAGATATTTCCCATGATAGTGTACTCAGAAGTGAAAAAAGTGGGTCTTTGCGCGGGAGTTAAACGCACGTGGCCTACAGGGATCAGATAATTCATAAGAGTTTTAGGTGGCAATTACAAGAAAACAATAAAGTATGCAAAATTACAACACAATGGAAATGACCGTTAGTCAAATTATAGTAAAGGGAAATTGACTCGTTGAGCACTAGTAAATTCGGCAATTTCTCGTGTTCAGGGTTTTGAAAAGCGAAAATAATGCTGCTAATAAACGGTTTACACTTAGAATAAATGGTGCAAAGCAGTTTGATTTGCAGCACAGAACATACCCCCGGGGGGATATTTTGTGATTTGCAGGAAAATCGTCCTGAAATTTCCTAACCTATATTTCTTGTACTTTTACACATAGATAAAGACGAGTAAACAGTGGCCAGTGGCGTAAACAGAAAAGTTCTGCAAATCTCAAAGATGAATTTTTTTCCAAGATACTTCCACAGAGTGCCTTTTTGATGTGCAAATTTTGTCTCGCTCACTAATCCAAAAAAATTAAAATTGAGTACTTACGAAAAAAGTTGAGTTTTCACAGAGAACAGAGTTTTTGAGAGTCTGTAGCGTGTCTGTAGTGATTATTCACTACTTTTTTCTGTAGAAAAACTAATTTTCTAGCTTATCAGATCGCATTTGAAGTTAACAAAATTCGTCATCCCAATGATGTACGGGCAAAAATCAGTACTTTATAACCTGTTTAAGCCAAATTCTCCTTTTGGGGAAAAAGCTGTTCAATAATATATGACCAAAGTATCTACGAAATGTGTAAGAAAACCTGAATTACAAAGAAAGATACATTCAGAAAAAACAGGCAATTAACCAAAACGCACAGACTCCAGTAAATTAAATAAACACGATGTCTACAAAATGTGTCGATTTCTTTAAAAGCTTGCAAAAGTTGATTAGAACAAAACAAATCACAATCAGATTTAAACACAAATGTGACACAAAGTGTGAAAATATCTGTTGACTTTTAGTTTGACAGTTAAAAAAATCATTTTTTTTTCAGTCCATTATTCGTGACCTGGAAAATCGGCAAAGACAAACGTTTGCGTGGCTGCATCGGAACATTTAACGCAATGAATCTCCAGTCCGGATTGCGCGAATACGCAATCACAAGTGCATTTAAAGACTCGCGTTTCAGTCCGATCACTCGCGACGAATTCGCCAAACTTAGTGTCTCCGTCTCGATTTTGCGGCACTTTGAGGATGGCGAAGATTTCCTAGATTGGGAGGTTGGAGTCCATGGGATCCGCATCGAGTTCATTAACGAAAGGGGCATGAAGCGAACCGCAACTTATTTGCCGGAAGTTGCTTCCGAACAAGGTAGGATTTAGATCTGGCAGGGCGAGGAAATGTGCAATTTGGGGGGCTTTCCAGGGTGGGATCAAATGCAGACTATTGACTCCCTCCTGCGAAAAGGCGGGTACAAGTCGACGATTTCCAGCGACATGCGGCGCACTATTAAACTCACTCGCTATCAGAGCGAACAAATCACCGTTAGCTATCAGGACTATATGAACTACTGGAACAGCCAGCGCTGCTAGCAGATAGTTTGGGGGCGTCCGGTCTCTCACGTTGCGCCCTCAACAGTCGAAACTCCCTCCTTTCATCATGTAAGTATTCCAGTAGCTGACACGATAGATTGGTAATTTGCACCAAAAACCGCCTACTTTCAGCAGCCATGTTCATACGTAAACTCGATGCCGCCACCCCCAACCTTTGTGGTACTGCAGCCGCCCCTTTCGCCGTTCGGCTCAACGGTGACTCATCAGTACGTACTGCCCGCCCCCATGCCGCTTTGGTGGCACGATCAGTGCCCCCGCAATCCTTCCTGCCAATCCCCAGTCGATTTCACGTCTCCCACCACTCCCGACCCGCCCTACTACCAAGGTGGCCCCCTTTTTCCCAAACACAAGTGACCCATGCGGTGCCTTATGCGTTTATGTTATTGTTCAAAGTTATAGCAAAGCCCCCCTCAAAAAGCTCGCGTAGTTTTCCATTTTGTTTTTAAATGTTTCCTGCCACGTCCAGAGTAACCCGAAATTTTAGCTTAGGACCAAATAATGTGTTGTGAGTGTTTACTTGTAGATATTTTAGGGTTTAATGCTTTATTGGCAAGTGTTATTGCACGGTTCATCAGTTGGCCAATTCCAACTGGAACGCAAAACAACGAACAAGCTGGGCTGTTTTGCAGGGGGTTGAACAATAACATCCATAAGGCACAAGAAATACACTGGTTTAATCTGCAAGATTTTATTACGGGGTGTCTGTCGCTGTTTGGTTTCGCTTCGCGCCAATTTGCCTCCAAATTCAAATTATTTTCTCGTGAAAGTACTATTCTCTAGTGGCCCGATTTAACGAACACCCTGTATGGACTTTCAAGACATTTCGCCGGCTTACATTAAGCAGAAAAATGTAGCATATTTGAAATCGCTTGCAAACACCGAGATGAAATGAAATGGGGGATGAAATGGGAAATGAGACCCCATAAAGTCCTTCTATAACAAAGTGGAGACTAAAGTCTGTTACACTCTTAATTAACTTAGGGCCTGATCCAGATGATTGCATTAATGAATTAACTGCTAGGTGCCGGTTAGTCACGTAGGTTTTATCCAGTTAATGTACATAAATATCCAAGGAGAATTTCGCACACTAACACATTCATGTGGGCATTCACCTTAATGTCCAGAATGCTTGTAAAGGGTGTTATTTTTATGGGTTGCCTGCCTTTAGACAGTGGTGAATAAAATGTCCGACCAAATCAAGTGTTATTTAGCTCACAATTGGTTGAATCATGTGTGAAGTGAACGCTTTTCTTTTACTTAAAAATCATCACTGCCATCTCATACCACATAGGGGTAGATAGAGGTTTGAAACGTTTTTTTTTTTTTTTTTTTT